TCAGTTGGTTAAGCGACTGCCTTCGGCTCAGGTCATGATCCTGGAGTCCCGGGATCGAGTCCCGCATCAGGATCCCTGCTCAGCGGGGAGTCTGCTTCTCCCTCTGACCCTCTTCCCTCTCGTGCTCTCTATCTTTCATTCTCTCTCTCTCTCTCAAATATATAAATAAAATCATTAAAAAAAAAAGAAAGAAATACCAGGGCTCTCCTCCAGTAAGCCCATCCACATCGCTCCTCATTATCAGTCACACAGGAGAGTAGGAGGGACCATGGCAATGTATCTCCTTATAGCTCTCCAGTATCTTCTCAGACTTACATTTCCTGTCTTCCCCTGACTCAGGTTTCAGTACCTCAATACACCATAGGAAACTAGAAAGAGAGAGAACAGATGAATCTAGAAAGCAGCAAAAGAGAGATAAAAATGTAAATTAAATAGAAAATTTAAAAGGTGGTATTTTTGAAAAGACCAGTACTAAAGATAAATGCTCCATGAACCTGGGTGACGGAGAAAGAGAAAAAAATGGAATGAGACAGGCAAAACAATCACAAGGAGATTTAAATAAATATAAGAATATCATGGTAATAAATTTGAAAACTAAGAGGAAATGATTTCCTAACAAAATGTAAATTATCAAAATTAATTGAAGAAATATGTAAAACTTGATAAATTGAGAAGGCTATTAAAGATCCACCATAAATAAGGCACCAAGACCAGGTAGATTCATATCCAAACTCTAAAATACTTTACAAATTCAGATATATCCAATTTGACAAATATTCAAGCCTATTAGACAGAGATTTCCATTAAGCATTTCATAGTGTCAGTGTTAGTTCCCTGAAAAGTCCTGCTAGGATTTTCACTGTAAGCACAATGATTTGGGGAAGAAAGGCTATCTTCTGATACTAAGTTCCTTCTAAGACCATAGACTATTCCTCTCTGCTTAAGAATTCTTTTATGTCTTTCTATAGTGTTTTAAAAATTTTCTCTATAAAGGTCTTTTTTTAAAACATTTCAATTTTGAGTAATCTCTACACCCAATGTGGAACTCGAACTCACAACCTTGAGATTGAGAGTCACATGCTCCACCAACTGAGCCAGCCAGGCACCCCTGTAAAGGTCTTTTTGAGATATAATTTATATTCTATAAAGGTCACTATTTAAAACTGTACAATCCAATAATTTTTAGTATATTCATAAAGTTGTGCAACTTTATCACTACTATCTGATTTGAGAACATTTTCATAAACCCCCAAGTAAGCCTCATACCCATTAGCAGTCAATCTCCATTCTTCCTTAACCCAATCTCTGAAAACCACTGATCTACTTCATGTCCTTATAGATTTGACTATTTTGGATATTTCATATGATTTGAATCACACAATAAATGGCTTTCTGTGTCTGGCTTCTTTTGCTTAGTATAGTGTTTTCAAGGTCCACTCATGTTGTAGCATGTCAGTATTTCATTCCTTTCCATGGCCATATAATATTCCATTGAGTGTATATACTACTTTTTTTAATCCATTCATCAGTTAATGGACATTTGAGTTGTGTCTACTTTTTGACTATTTTGAATAATATAGTTATAAATATTGATGTACAAGTTTTTGTATGGGCATACGTTTTCAATTCTCTTGGGTATGTACTTAGGAGTGGAATTGTTAGGTCATATGGCAAGTTGTTTTTCCCTAAAAACAAAACAAAACACATGCATTTCTCCACTCCCCCACCTGCCTCTTGCAGCCATCAATCTTTTCTCTGTATCTATGAGCTTATCTTTTGTTGTTTTTGTTTTTTTTTTTTAGATTCTATATAAGAGAAATCATATGATATTTGTCTTTCTTTGACTTATTTCACTTAGTATAAGTGAATCCTTGAGGTTCATCCATGGTGTTGCAAATAACAAGATTTCATTATTTTTTATGGCTAAGTAACTTTCCATTGTACATACCACAATTTCTTTATCCATTCATCCATTGATGGACACTTAGGTTGTTTTCATGTCTTGGCTATTGTTGCAATGAATATGGGGGGGTGCATATATCTTTTCAAATTCGTGTTTTTGTTTTCTTCAGATAAATACCCAGAAGTGGAATTGCTAGATAGTATGATAGTTCTATTTCTAATTTTTTGGGGAAACACCATAATGTTTTCCATAGTGGCAGCACCAATTTATATGCCACCAACAGTACACAAGAGTTCCCTTTTCCCTGCATCCTCACCAACTTATTTCTTGTCCTTTTTTTTTTTTTTTAAATCATAGCCATTCTATGGCTAGGTGTGAGGTTATATCTCATTGTGTGTGTATTTTTTTAAAAAGATTTTATTTATTTATTCCAGAGAGAAAGTGATCAAGTGAATGGGGAATGAGCAGAGGGAGAGGGACAAGCAGACTCCACATTGCAGAGGACCCTGAGATCATAACCTGAGCCGAAAGCAAGAGTCTGATGCTGAACCAACTGAGCCACCCAGGCCCCCCTCTTGTTGTGGTTTTGATTTGTGTTTCCCTGATGACTAATGATATTGAACATATTTTCATGTACCTGTTGGCCATGTGTATGTGTTCTTTGGAAAAATGTCTGTTAGTTCTTCTGCCCATTTTTAAGTTGGATTGTTTGATTTTTTTTCTATTGAGTTGTATGTGTTCTTTATATATTTTGGATATTAACCCCTTATCAGATATACGATTTGCAATTATTTTCTCCCATCAGTAGGTTGCCTTTTTATTTTATTGATGGTTTCCTTTGCTGTGCAGAAGACCTTTAGTTTTAAGTAATCTCACTTGTTTATTTTTGTTTTTATTGCTTTTACTTTTGGTGTCAGATTAAAAGAATCATCACTAAGACCTATGTTAAGGAGCTTACCACCTATGTTTCCTTCTAGGAGCTTTATGATTTCAGGTTTCAAGTCTTTAATCCACTTTGAGTTAATTTTTGTGCATGATATATAAATGATGGGCCAGTATCATTCTTTTGCATGCGGCTGTCTAATTTTTCCAACATCATTTATCAAAGAGACTGTCCTTTCCACATTGTATATCCTTGATTCCTTTGTTGTAAATTAATTGACCATGTGTATATGATTTTATTTCTGAGATTTTTATTATGGTACTTTGACCTGTGTGTCCCTTTTTATGCCAGTACCATACTGTTTTAATTACTATAGATTTATAATATAGTTTGAAATCAGGGAGTGTGATGTCTCCAGTTTTGTTCTTCTTTCTCATGACTACTTTGGCTTTTCAGGGTCTTTTGTGATTCTACACTAATTTTATGACGGTTATTTTCTATTTCTGGAAAAATACCATTGGAGTTTTGATAAGGATTGTATTGAAATCTGTAGATTGCTTTGGGTAGTATGGAAAAAAAGTATATATATATATATATATTTAAAACATATTTTTTATCCATTCAACTATCGCTGGACACTTGAGCAGCTACTATGTCTTTTTGAATTAGTGTTTTTGTTTTCTTTTGGTAAATACCCAGTAGTGAAATTACTGGATCATATGATATTTCTATTTATTTTTTGAGTAACCTCCATATTGTTTTCCACAATGGTTGGACCAATTTACATTCCTATAACCAATGCATAAGGGTTCCTTTTTCTCTGCATCCATGCCAGAAGGCAAGAGTAAGAAAAAAGCTTTTCCCATGGCCTTTGCTGGAGTGGGAAAGGCAAACCAGGATAGGGTAAACAGTTTAGGTCTGGCTGGTTTGAGTATTTTCTGTGGTCTCTAAGCTATATAGATGCCTCGTACTTGGCTTGGGATGATTAAGGCAGAGGTATATAGCCTTCTGGTGGTGTACAGGACAAAGAGAGCGGAAGTATGGCCCTGAGCTGGTTCGTTTGCCGATGAAAGGCATGTTCTGGGATGAGTCCTTTGCTATCTCTAAGAACTGGCTGGCCCTGGGAGGGGCAGTCTCTCCCAACCCAGAAAGGGATTTTTTTTAAGGTTGACAAAATGGCCTAATATGCAGAACTTAAAATATATACATATATATATAATAACATATTGGAAAGGGAGAGAGAGGGAGAAGCAGAGAGAACCTACCGACCTAGGTTCTGGGAACAGCGCTGAACCCAGAGTACTTGCTCTCCTGGAGCTCGCCCTCTAGTGGGGGCAACAGAAAATAGAAAATAAGATAAGCTTGGGTAGTGACTGGGACTTTGAAAAGGATAAGCTTGGGTAGTGACTGGGACTTTGAAAACAGGAAAACAGAGTCAGGTAGTCAGGGGCAACAGAAAATAGAAAACAAGATAAGCTTGGGTAGTGACTGGGACTTTGACTGAGGATAAGCTTGGGTAGTGACTGGGACTTTGAAAACAGGAAAACAGAGTCAGGTAGTAGAACATACAGTAGGGGGTGGGGAAACCACTTTAATAAGGTGGTCAAAGAAGGTCTCCCTGAGGAGGGAGCATGGAGCAGAGACACGTGAGTGGAGGGGAGCTCCATCTGGAAAGGTTATCTAAGGAGAGGAGGCAGCAAGTGCAAAGTTCTGAGATGAGAGTGTGGGCGGGGAGTGGGGGGAAGATCTGAAGAGCAGGGTAGCCAGGAGGGACATGGAGAGGGTGACACGGCCAGGGCCAGATCATGCAGGCTTATGGAGACCCAGGAGGGCTTTTGGAATTGTTTTAAATTTAATGGGAAGACACTGAAGAATGAAGAGCATCAGGTGACGCAACCTCCATGTGCCACAACCACAGGGGGCACCATGTACGTGGACCACATTGTGAAGGAGTGTCCCTGGAGTTGGCTGAGTGGGCGGCCCTGCAACCCCAACTCTCTTACCCATGGCAGACATTGCTCATCAATTACAGGCCCCACTCATCCAGCACAGAATTCTTCTCCACCAGGGACCCCAGATGACCTCAGCCAATTCCTCAGAGCTGAGCGTGCCAGGCCCAGTCTCTGCCAACATTTTCCCTGACTCTGCTGACGCAGGGACCTCTGGGGCTGGTCTGACAGAGACCCAGTGACACAGAGTGGGAGCAGACCCGATCAGTTAGTTCTTTATTGGGAAGGGGATGCTGTCTGTAATCTGACACATCTGTGACCCCAGAGAGATCTCAAGTTCAAGTCCCAGATGGGTTGCTGTGAGGTCGTAGTTGCCATGGAAAAAGCCACGGGAATGGCAATTATGCCAGCGCCAATAGATCTGGATGATGCGGACAGCATGGAGCAAATTCCAGTAACGAAGGCGTATGCGCCACATGCGGACCAAGGACTGCAGCTTGACCACTGCCCATTCTTGCTGTGCATAAAACTCTAGGGTCCCTCGCCGTCTGTCCTCCAGCAGCTTTGCCAGCGTCACCTTCCACCAGTGCTGAATGATACATGCTCTGAGTGCTGCGTGTAGCAAGGTCCTGCGCACCAGAGTACCCCGCCACCATGCCTGGATCTTTATGGCTTTCTGCTCTTGGTCAGGGCGCTTCGTTTTCTTTGGGGGGAGAGGTTGCAAAGATAAAGAAGGGATTCTCAGGGACCATTCCCCACCCACCTCAGCTCCAGGGCATGCCAAGAAGGGCTTCCTCAGAAGTTCAGGAGCACTGGGCAGGGACCCAGTAGACCAGATATGTGTCCTGTCTCTGCCCCTCTCTCTTAATGCACCTGGACACATCACATTGTCCCCTGAGGCTCAGGCTCCTCATCTGTAAAATGGAGCATTCTGGCACTAGCTATCCCGCCATTACATGGACCTGGTTGGCCTGTCTGGAACAAGCATGCCATGAATCATGTTCCACCTGGGCCTGGCCACCTACCTGGGCTGCATAGTCTTTCCCTCCACCACCGCCCCCCACCCCGCACCGAGACGGCTGGAGAAGCAGCATCCTTTGTTTGCTTTCATGCCTGACTCCAGCTCAACCCACAACCTGCTGTGTCCCTCTGTCAAGTCACAGTATTAGAAGTTTCTCTGCTCCACACAGTGTGGAGTCCTTCTCATTTAGCTCTCACTTTCACTTCTTTGTGTTCTCACATCTTAAACTTCAGTTAGCACGCATGCATGCACACATGTGTCTGCATGCGCACACACACAGTTCTAGACTCGGCTTTCCCTGTATGTGGCAATGCCTTCCCCAAACACAGCCTCACTGCCCCACTCCCCATCTTGGCATGGTCTGATCTCCCCTTGTCAGGGGTTCCCCTCCCTACAACCAAGTCTCTGTGCCTCAGTTACCCACCTTTCTCTTACTGAGAAGGAACTCGGGGGAGAGGATAACCAAAGATAAACCAGAATGTCCCAGGCCAACCATTCATCCTGATTGGCCTGGGACATTCTGGTTTATGCTTATTGTTCCCTGAGCAATCACTCAGAGCCCAGTCTTTTACTCACAAATGGAACCTGGTTCAGATGACAGATTCCAGGATCATGCTATGCTATGGGGCACAGAGAAGACAACCTATCACTCTTTGCAAATAGGAGTCACCCTCAACTTTGAGGGTCTCCATTGACCTACCTTTGGTGGAGGGGGTGGAGTTGGAAGTAGAGGCTCTTCTTTCTTTTTCTCTTTCTCTTTCCCTTTCCCTTTCTCTTTCTTCTCTTTTTCTTTCAGCACTGTGGTTTCATCTGGATCCTTCTTAATGATTTCATCCTTACGTAATTAGAGTTTAGAAGGGAAAGATATCAGTAAGGGTTCTCTGTACAACTGTGTGCCAAGTCCACCACACACTCCTGCCTTGCCCGGAGATCCTAGATATAGGACTTGCAACCTGAGTTAACTGTGGAAATCCACCTTCCCCTCCCTGCAACTTTGGGTGGCTCTCACTTATACAACATCAAATTCCCATGGCTTGGATATAGATGGTTCAAATACCCTCAGGTCTGCAATCCCCTAAATTCCCCATAGTTAAGAACTCAATTGTCCCATCACTTTCGGGCCTGCACTCTTCCTTGAGACCCATACAATTTTTTGCCGATATCAGTAGTTTGTTCCTTTTTACTGCTGAGTAGTAGATATACCACAGTTTGATTAACCATTCACCCATTTGGGTTATGTCCACTTTTTTTTGGCTATTATTCTACTATGAAATTTTTGTAGAAGTTTTTGTTTTTGTTTTCAGTTTTCTTGGATACATACTTAAGAGTGGAATTGCTGGGTCTTATGGTAATTCTATATTTAGCTCTTGAGAGACCAACAAACTGTTTCCACATCAGCCATCCCATTTTACATTCCTAAGAGCAACGTGTGTAAGATCCAGTTTCTCCAATCCTACTATCTGCTATATTTCAGATATTAGCATATTGCAGAGAGGCAGTCAACTGCATTTGCTGATGTGAATGGGGATGGATAAAGATAAGTAAAAGGGAGGGTTCAGAAAGGAACTTTAATCAAATAGATTTGGTGAATGGTCAAGGCACAAGGAGAAGCAATTTTTGGATAAAATCATGAAATTGGGGAATGAGAATCCTGTTTCTGCCACATTATGTTTGAAAACACTGGGTGTTATACCCAACTAATGGATCATTGAACGCTCCATCAAAAAACTAATGATGTACTATATGTTGGCTAAGTGAATTTAAATTAAAAAAATAACAAAAAGAAAGAAAGAAAAAACCTGTTAGACATCAAAGCAAGATGTCAAGTAGGAAGCCATACCTTGGGTATGGAATTCAAAGGAGGTATCAAGGATAGTGATATAGATTTGAGTGTCATCAGGATATAGCAGATATTTAAGACCATGTGACTGGATGATGTTATCTGGGAATACAGATTAAAAGAGACTAAAATAAGTTCTTTTTAAAGATTTTATTCATTTATTTGTCAGAGAGAGACACAGCAAGAGAGGGAACACAAGCAGGGGGAGCGGGAGAGGGAGAAGCAGGCTTCCCGCCGAGCAGGGAGCCTGATGCGGGGCTCGATCCCAGGACCCTAGGGTCATGACCTGAGCCGAAGACAGATGCTTAATGACTGAGCCACCCAGGCACCCCGAGACTAAAAGAAGTTTTAAGACTGAGCCTCTCGTAGGTTAGATGCTCATCAATGAAGAAGCCATTGATAAGATTAAGAAAAAGCAGCCAGTGAAGAACACCAGAAGAGCAAAGTGGAGGGGGTGGCTTTGGATGGAGCAAAGAAAAGTCATTTCTTTTATTCTTTTTTTTTTAAAGATTTTATTTACCTATTTTATTTTAGAGAGAGAGCCTGAGTGAGCAGGGGGAGGGGCAGAGAGGGAGAGAGAGAATCTCAAGCAGAGTTCATGCTGAGTGTGGAGCCTAATGTGGGGCTTGATATCATGACCCTGAGATCATGACCTGAGCTGAAACCAAGAGTCAAACACTTAACCAACTGAGCCACTCAAAAGCCCTAATTAGTCAGCTTTTAAAAGGAGGGAAATTCTGACACACACTACAACACGGATGAACCATGACAATATTACGCTCTGGTAAAGAAGCCAGTTACAAAATACTGTATTTTGGTTCTACTTTTATGAGAGACCTAGAGTATTCACATTCAGAGATACAGAAAGGAGAAGCATGGCTGCCTGGGGTGGTGTGGGGAGATTTGGGGAGGTATGGGGAAACTGTTTAGTGGGTGCAGTGTGTCAGTTTGGGGAGATGAAAAAGTGCTTGAGATGGATAGTGATGATGATTAAACAACAATTTGAATAGACTTAGTTACACCACAGAACTGTACACTTAAACATTGTTACAATGGTAAATTTCATGTTATGTGCATCTTACTGCAATTTTTTTGTCCTTTATTTTTTTATTATTAACATGTAATGTATTTGTTTCAGGGGTACAGGTCTGTGATTCATCAGTCTTACACAATACACAGCGCTCACCACAACACATACCCTCCCCAGTGTCCATCACCCAGCCACCCCATCCCTCCCACCCCCTTCTGCTCCAGCAACCCTCGGTTTTGTTTCCTGAGATTAAGAGTCTCTTATGGTTTGTCTCCCTCTCCGGTTTCTTCTTGTTTCATTTTTCCTCTCTTCCCCTATGATCCTCTGCCTTGTTTTTCAAATTCCACATATCAGTGAGATCATATGATAATTGCCTTTCTCTGATTGACTTATTTTGCTTAGCATAATACCCTCTAGTTCTAGTTCTAGAGCAAAAGGCAATATTTCTTTTTTTGATGGCTGCATAATATTCCATTGTATATATATACACCACATCTTCTTTATCCATTCATCAAAGACAACTCATTTTAACTCAAGGAGCGTGCGATGCTCCTGAAGCCAAATAGAGAGTGTTTCAAGTAAGATAGAGTGGTCAACCTGTAGTCTGATGCAGAGAGAGGGCAGAGGACAGAGAATTCACCATCGTCATGTAAACAAGTTAGTTGGTGATTTTAGATGGTGTAGTTTTTATTGTTTAACCAAGTACCCAAAACATAAAGGCTTAAAACAATAACCATTTACAGAGCTCATAGTTCTGTGGAGTAACAATGGGCTAGCCTCATCTGGGTGATTCTTTTCTCAGCTGGGCCCACTCAAAAATATGTGTTCAGTTGGCAGGTGTGATGGAGGCTGGTGGTGTAAGATGGCCTCATCAGAGATGGCTCATCTCTGTCCCATGTTGTGTCTAATGCTACAGCAGTAGTCTCCTTGCTCACATAGTGGATGATTGTTCAAGACCTCTTAAAGTCTAAGCTTGCAACTGGCACAATATCACTTTCACTGCATACTGTTGGCCAAAGAAAGTCACAAGGGAAGCCTAGATACAAAAGGAGGTTAAGTAACCTCTGTTTCTTAATTGATAAACTTATAAAATCACATTGCAAAGGAGCATGGATACAAGGAGGGAAGTAACATTGGTCATTTTTGCAAACAATCTTTCTCAATCAATACTTTTGACCTGTGAAGTTTCTGTGGGGCGGGGGGGAAGGGCAGCCCAATTGAAGTGAGTTTAGGAGAGAATGGGAGGAGAGAAAGGAGAGACAGTGACCTGTTTTGCTATGAGGAGATGAAAAGAACCAGAACAGGACCTAGTCAAGAATAGGCACTGCCACATGCGAACCCAAGGAGTTTTTAATGGTGGAGAACACTGTATGCTGATGGAAATGATCTGGTGAAAAGGTAGAAACGGATTTAGAGAAACAAATGAAATTACAGAAACACATCATTGCAAAGGCAAGAGGTGATAGTGGGCAAAAGAAAAGGAAGAGCACCAGAAGAGCAATGTGTTGGGGGTGTGGCTTTGGATGGTGCAAAGACAACTCATTTCAACTCAAGGAAGGCAACAGGTGTGGTACGAATGGCACTGAGATGGGGGATGAGACGGTAGGGAGATAGGGGGCCAGTCCACTGCCATTTTCTCAGTTCAGTGTACAGTAACTTCATCATTTGAGGTCAAAAGGAAAGAGGAAGAACTGCCTCTTTGAGGAGAGAAGAAAGAGTGTGAAGTCTTCAGGTCAAAAAGCAAATTTACAGAGAAGTGTTTTGAGAAGTAAGTCTGCCCATCTGTGGTCCTGAATATGAACAAAAACCATGCAATATGGTGATTTGTTTTTCTTTAAGGAAATTTAATTCTTCTGGTGCAGGATGAAGTAGGTGAAGGATTGGGTTCATACAGAGGTGGAAAGAGGGCCAACGGGGGTAAAACTGTCGGAGAATCCTCAACAGAGAATGGAATCCGAGCTGGGCACAAGGGCAGTACAACGCTGGTAAGGTCAGTCTTTGGGAAGTCCTAATTAGAACTAAAGAAACATTTGTATCGATGCATAAGAATCAGTGATTCTAACACAGAGGTTGGCAAACTTTTTCTGTAAAGGGCCAGATAGTATTTTAGGATTGATGTCAATACAGTCCCTGTCACAACCACTCAACTGCAGGCCATAGTTTTCTGACCTTTGCCCTAAAGCATAGAAAGCAAAAGTCAGAGACCAAGATGATTGAAATCAGTATTATAGTGGCTGTGGTCAGTTATGACAAGAACCAGGGCAATGCCACCCAAAGTATGGTGAGCATTTGTTACCACTGAGATTAAGTACAAAGCTTGAGATGAGGCACTTAGAAATTTGTATATCAAATTGAAATAGCAGTTTTATGTGTGTTTGGTCTAACCATTAAAAACAAGCCTTATACTCTGTATACCTTTTCTACTTATTTTTTTCATAATTCATTTTTATTGTTTTACAAAAGAATTTGGTCTATGATGGATTGGACATTTTAAAAATAATGCTGCTACCTTACAGGCAATTATATGGGTGAGTGATTCAGGTAGAATGGAAGTGAAAATCACTGGAGGTGAGAGGCAAGGGGCTTGAGCTGCCATCTAGACAATGTTGAAGTCACTAAGAGTGGTAGCACACATAGGGTGGCAATGATATCAGTGGGAGCCCTATGTGTGTTTCAGCACCATGCAGAAGCTGGTCCTGAGGGTGGAGGCAGAGCTGAGTTTCCTTAGCATCGTAATATATGCTATTTCCCAAAGAAAACAATATCCAGGTCAGCACAAAACTTGCAGAACCTCGGGCCCAGTCATCACTAAGGCCAGCCTCCTATGCATTCTCTGGGCTGTGCAGCTCCCAAGAGAGCCAACCAAATGTCTGACTTAGGTCTGGGGGCTTGCCAAATAGAGAGTCAATGGCTGCGAGCCCCAGCTGGCCTGCAATGGCAGGCTGCCAGAGCATGGATCCAGAGCAATTCTCATAAGAGGAGGTGCCCAGAGTCTTTGGGAATATAAAGCCGTCCCCTCCCACCCCCAGCCAATTGCAAGTTCAGGAGACAAGGATGGTGCCGGGGCTATGGAACCATAGACTTGGTTCTGGATGTGTGACGACAGCCTCGGGTGGCAGCTTCTGATCTGGACAGAGTCAGTGGCATTCAGCCACTGTCAGTCCAAAGCAGGGGCCATAGGCACCGAGGGGTGGGAGTCGGGGGAGAGAGATAGCTGTCTCCCCGCGCAGAAGAGGGCAGCAGTGCTCCTGGGTCTTCATAGTGTGGGAGTCACTGAGACACACAAAACCTGGTCAGACGTTTATTGGGGCAGTGGAGCCAGTTCTCCACCCTATATCACTTTTAGACTGATAGGATTTCAATGTGGAACTCGGGATGGCTGGGAGTGACTTCATACTGTTCCTGTAGAATATCATGGGTCTGGAAGGTGAAGCAGCCCTTTGGGATCTGGAGGATGCAGAGGGCGTTGCACATGTGGCAGTATCGTCGATGGCACTGCCACATGCGAACCCAGGACTGGAGCTTGACAGCCGCCTCCTCCTGGATGACATAGATCTTCAACAGGTCCTGCCGCCGCTTAAGAACCCGCCTCCACAGGAGTGTTCTCCACCAGATCTGAATCATCCAGGCCATGAGGGCAGCCACCAGCAGGGTGCGACGCACCAGGGTGCCCCGCCACCAGGCCTGGATCTTCCCAGCCGCCTTGACTCTTGCTCTGAGGCGTTTTTCACGAAGCCACTAACCAAGCAAAGCAGAGGACTCCATGTGAATTTGTCACAGACAACCGCAAGTCTGGTGTCTGTCACGAAGGAGCTCTGATCTTCTCTTTTAACAACGAGGCTTCCCCCTGGTGGTTCTGGGGACCCAGGAGTCCTGGGTGGGGTTTTGCCTCTACTGTCTTGTCTGTGGCCATAGACACAAGGGCTCATCCTCCGAGTCACAGGGTCCTCATCTACAAAATGGGGATACGCTTGCTCTCTGGTCTTCACAGGTTCGTGGAATCACTGGAAACACTTTCTGATCCAGAAGCCCTGGCATGGGTTTGAGGAACCAAAGGGTCCTCTGAGGATGAACCTCTGCATTTATGGCCTGCATCTCAGCCCAGATCCCCACCTGTGATGTTGCCTCCTGATGCTTCTACGCCATGCCATGGCCCCTTGAGGTCTCGCCCTTACCTCACTTTTTTTGATTTCCACTACTACCTCTCAGTCACCCCCATATCCTTCTAAACCCAGGCTGCTCCTTCTCCAGCTTTCCAGTTCCCACAGCTGTGCCCCAACTTCCAGTGACCTGCCCACATCCTGCTTCCTCACCTCACTGTTGTTTCTCCATGCTTAACACAGCTCATTCAGAACAGGGAGGGAATTTATGGGGACAGGAGAGTAACACTGAGCTGACTCCTCAGCTGTGGGACCAGAGATGGATCCTCCACTTTTAGGGACTCTGTGGCCAGACGATCAGTGATCTGTGGTTCTCTCATGTTCCTGGGCCCCACCTACCTTCAGTTTCTCTTTCTCTAGTGCATCCTTATCTGGACCAGACTTCTGCAATCAGAATATAGGGAGAAAGCATGAGTGAGGACCAGCTTCTGTGCAGAGTTCTCACAGCCCTACCTCCCCATTCTTCCTGAGTCCTTTGAAGTTATCTGGTACTTCCTTCTGCCGTGGGCCAGCTCCCCATCCCCAGGGAGGGGGTGTATGACTGTCTTACACAGCATTTACTGCCCATGGTTTTGGGGCAGTGTTTCTGGTGTTCACACCCCCTCTGGTTGCTGCTCCATTGGTCCTGGCAGAGGCAGGAAGGGTGGGAGAGGAGGAGGTAGCCATGATGTCACAAGGGCAACTATGACCCAGGGACCAGGTTGCCTTCTTCAGGCTCAACGTTGTTGGATAAAGAGGAAACACCTGCCCATTTCCCTTCTGCCAGGGATGGACTAATGTCCTTGATGAAACCACAGCCCCTGTGAGTCTGTCCTGTCCCAAGGGTGACTTCTACTCTGCCCACCCACAGGACCCTCCTGTCATCAACCACTGAGGAGAGAAGCTTCTACATTGCAGAGGAAGGCGTATGGGCTCAGGCTTCTCCCTGTATCCTGCCTTCTCTGCCACCGTGCCCTTCCTCGGTGTGTGGCAAAGTCCTTTTAATGAGGATCACTGTGAGTATGGAGGGTGAGCAGAAGGGGCCAAGGAAGGGTCAGGATGGAGGTAGCCCAGTCAATTTCTACACCTTCCAGCTGTCGTAACCCCCTGTCCTTCTGCAGCTGTTTGGTGCCTAGCAAGCCAATATTATGTTTCTAAAAACAAAACAAGCCCTTTCATTTTGTATCTGAAACTTAGTGGGCTGGGGGAATTTTCTAAACATGAGCCATTATATCAGAGAGTGTCCCCCAATGTAGTCTCCTCTGGTGGTGGCAATGGTCTATTTTAAAGGGTTGCTTAGTTATTCAGGCTTGCTTCCAAGACCAGGGGCCTCTGGCTATCCCCAATGCCATCTCTCGGCCACGTTCACTTCTCTTAACCAATTCTAGATAGCCCCCCTCCAGCCCTCAGTAACATGCTGACGTGGTCTCTTCATTTCAAGGCATCAACTCCCCACCAAAAAAGACAGGATTTGGCTTTCTGCCCCATCCCAAACAACCCCACTGTTTCTCCTTTCATCTTCCCAATTAGGGCACTTGCAATTTAGGTCCCTAGTCACAATTTAGTGTTTATTATCATCATGACTCTGTGAGTTCCACTGACCACGGCGCTCCAGAGCCCACTCTGATTCCCTATCCTTTCCTGCAAAACTTCCTAAAGGCTTTTTATTATGTTTCAATATATACAAGGTTTGACAACAGATAATGAACTCCCTATGTCCTCATGACCCAGCAGAACCTGTTCTCCTCCTCTCTGCTCCACTGCTGAGTTCAGTCACCCCAGCGTTTCCCTACAGCAGACAGCACTGGGAGGAGCATCTTCCTGCGCATCTCCGTGCAGCCCTGGGAAACATTCTCCAAGGGATGCACACTGGTGTGACTTGCTGAATCATGGGACAGGTGGCTCCTCCACACTACTAAATGCTGACAGACTGCTCTCCACAGTGGCAGCACCAGTCCAACCTCTGTCAATCACCTCCTAATTTCTGCTGAACTGAAAGATGTGGAGTGGTGTCACCTTGCTGTTTTAGTTTGCATTTCTGAGTAGGGACTTGAGCAGAGCATGAGTCTTCACAGTGACTAACAGGGCTCCAATCTTGACACAGACCTTTTCTGGCTGTGTGAACTGGAGCAAGTCTTTCAGTGGTGTCTGTTTCTTCCTGGGCAAAGTGGAGAGAGCAACATGGCGCCTCCCTTAAGGAGCTGTTGTGGAAAAGCAAGCAGGTGAAGTCCTTGGAATGGCACCTGGTCCTGGAACGGCTCTGTGTCTTTCACTTCTCAGGATTATTTCATCTTGGCCTCCTGTCACCTATGTGCAATTGCCTGATCTAGTCCTTGGCCTATTTTTCTACTGGAATCCCATCATCCTCTTGTAGGACTTCCTTGGACTGGACTTCCTTTGCTGGATAGAAATGTTGCACATATCTTTTCCCAGACAACCACCTGCCGGCTGACGTTTTTCATGGTGTTGTTCGTTGCACAGATATCATTCTATCCGTGTCCCCCTTTATAATTGTGCTTTTGAAATTTTTTAAACTGCTGCTTTCCCATCCAGGATCACATGTTTTCCTATTACATTCTGGTTTACATCTTACATTGAGGTCTTCAGCAAGTGACAGGAACATGATCCTGTGCACTGTGTCTCCCTCTTTCTTGGATTCAGTCCCTCATTTGGATAGAGCACATGCTATGATAGTTTCCTAAGGAAAGGATGGATATAAATGGATGGAAAAATGGATGGAAAAAATGCATGGATATAAATATGTAGAGATTGCAAGCCTGAAAATGACTTTTTTTTACCCTCAAATATGATTGATAGTTTTGCTTAGTATGGAATACCAGATTGCAAATAGTTTTCCTTCAGAATTTTGAGGAATTTGTTTTACTTTTTTCTAGAGGTCTAATGTTACTCTTATTCCTTTGTCCATGTGATGTGACTTATTTTTTCCTCTTTGGAAGCTTTTAGGATCTTCTCTTTATCCCTGTAGTTTTTAGGATGTTCTGAAATTAATGTTGTTTCAATAAGTAATTATGTAATGAAGGAATACGTGATTCCATATAGGTCTTGGATTTGTGGCTTCATCAGGGTTCAAATCCTACTCCCTAGAAACAACTGTCCTAACATCTCGGAGCCAAACCATCCCAGATCCCTCGTACCCAATAAACATGTTATTCTCAGCCTCTCTGAGATGTCCCCCTCCCCATTCATTGTATGGGGCATGTTAGTTTATAAAATTTATATGATCCAACTCTGGAAAACCTTATTGGGTTTTTTAAAAAATAATTTCTACCAGGGCGCCTGGGTGGCTCAGTCAGTTAAGTGTCTGCCTTCAGCTCAGGTCATGATCCCAGGGTCCTGGAATTGAGCTCTGCATCAGGCTCCCTGTGAGGAGCCTGCTTCTCCCTCTCCACCTGCTGCTCCCCCTGCTTGTGCTATCTTGCTCTTTCTCTCTGTCAAATAAATGAATAAAAGTCTTTAAAAAAATAATAAAAGAAAATTTCTACCTTTCAATTTTCTTAATTTAATATGTATAGAAATCTTACTAGTCAAATCATTGATTGATCCTCTAATTTTCCAATATTTTCTACACTATTTTCTTTTTTTTAAAGATTTATTTATTTATTATTTTTGAGAGAGAGAGCATGAGTGGGGGAGGCGCAGAGGGAGAGTGATGAGCAGACTCCATGCTTAGCATGGAACCCAGTGTGGGGTTTGACCTGACAACCCTGAGATCATGACCTGAGCTGAAATCAAGAGTGGGACATTTAACCAACTGAGCCACCCAGGCACCCCTACACTATTTTCTAACTCTGTTTTTTTATTTTACTTTTGGAAGATTTTCTCCATTTTTAAGAGTCTTAACTTTCAAGAGCTCTTTCCTGGCCTCAGACTATTCTCCTTTTATAGCACACTATTCTTGTTTCATTGATCTGTTATCTCTTATTAGGAATATTAGTTATGATTGTTAGTTTGGGTTCTTAAACCTTTTTCTTCTGTTCCCCGTATTGTCTCTATTTCTTTTAATTCCCCTTTTTTTCTATTTCTGTTTTTATCTCAGTCTCTCATGTTGATGATCCTTGTTTGTCTATTCATGAGTATGAGCTTGGCACTAGAATGCCAAAGGGAAGCTCCATGTGCATCCATAGGACTTACTAACTGGCGCCACTCAGTGTGGGTTAATAAGGCAGAGTTGGGTTTTGTTTCAAAGGGGGACCCTAAATATCAGCATTCAATTTTTTTTATTCTTTGGAGCTTGTGGTAGATTGTTTTAGTGGTCCTATATGCATACTTTTTCCTATGGAACTTTGTACTTCCCATTTGGCAGCATATGCTTTGGCCAGCAGAATAAGGTGAAATGATGATACGCAAATTTGCCTTGGCTTCAAAAGTCTTTGCCAATTTATATTTGCCCTCTTGTACTTCTGCCATTGCCAACAAGGAAGTGCCCAGGCAGCCTGCTGGTATGAAGAGGAGGATGGGAAACACGTGGAGCAGAGCTTCCTCAGCCAAGCTCTCCCACCAAAACACAGCCTGGGGCAACATGCTTACTGTTGTAGGTCACTGACGCTGTGGCGGTTTGCTAGACAGCATTTGCGTAGCAATAATTAACTGATGCCCCAGAGAGGAATCCCAGAACATCCAGTCAGAGAGTAGAATGAAACCTGACTGCAAGCTTCAGGGAGGTGAACTGGCACAGAGGGCTGGAGGCCTCACTGTCCAGCCTACACACTTTCAATTAATCCCTCCATTTTGGTATGGTGGTTCACCTCTCCTCTGCCTTTAACCATGACTGAAATCCCTGAGGCTAGATGCTCTCTCGTTCAACTTATGCAGAAAATAAACCTCTCTTCTGTCAGGGTGGAGGAGGGCTATTGTCCAGCTTTACATAGGAAGGAGGAGAATGGGGTGAAGGGAAAATAACAACAAATTCTTATTTAAATGTTTATTCTTCATTGTAGTTGGTGCCTCAATTCTTAGTAGTTGGTGCCTCAATTACATATTGTTGTTATTATTATAGTCTTGTGGTGTATTTTAATGTGACTTATCATACTCCTACCTTCTAGTCTCTTTTTTCAAAATTGTCTTGACTGTGGACATTTAGTCAATGTGATTTTTTTTTTTTGTATCAGTTTGTCAAATTCCCAAAAACTCCTGATGATATTTTTATAGGAATTGAATTTAACTTACAGATAAACTTGGACATAACTGACAACTTTACAATGGTAAGTCATTCTATCAATAACTATATGGTATATTTCTCCTTTTATTTGGTTTCCTTGTACATCCTTTGAGCTGTGGACAGAAGCGGCATGTGTAACTTCAAGGATATGCCCTAAAAGAGAAGGAGCATGCCTTTCTCCTCCTCCTTCCTCCTTGCTGGCTAGACTGTGGATAGGAATATTGAAGTTGAAGCAGCTGGGGCACCTGGGCGGCTCATTTGATTAAGCTCTGACTCTTGATCTCAGCTCAGGTCTTGATTTCAGGGTCGTGAGTTCGAGCCCTAGGTTGGGCTCCACCAATGTGGAGTCTCCTTAAAAAACAAAACAATAACAACAAAAAGAAACCTCAGAAGCCATTTGGGATCATGAAGTGACCTTGGGCCAGATACCATATATAGCCAAGTAACAAGTTAGAAGGGGCCAGGATTCCTCCCCCCTGAAGTTCCATATGGGCCTAGATACTTATTTCTGAACTTCTTTGAGAAAGAGAAATAAAACTCCAATTTATTTGAACCTCTGTTCCTTCACAGTGACCACATAGTTTTGTTCTACCTCAGTGGTTCTCAAAGTGGTGTTCCCTAGAACAAGAGCCACAGTATCACCTGGAACTTACTAGAAATACCCATTCTTGGGACGCTCTACTGAATCAGAAGTGCTGGGTAGGGCCCAGCAATCTGCTTTAATGAGCCCTCCATGTGACTGTAATGTGTGCTACCATTTGAAAAGCATTGTTCTATTTCTCTCCTAAGTCGAACACACACAATAGGATGTCCATGGGATGACTGCCTACTTTCTTTAGGAGGCAGAGCTCAGAGGTTATCCTGGAAGTGAAGGCTTCCACACGTATACTTTGTGTGAGTTGAGTAGAGGGCAAGAGAAAGATGTGACAATTTTATTTATTCCTAATACAGTTGTTTCATGAATGGCTGATGGTTGCCCATGTCTCCTTCCTGCTGACTTGTTGAACTAGGCTAATTAAAGACTCCACATTTGGCTCATAGGTCACCAATCCATGATTAGATTCATATTCAGGCCATTCTGATTCTAGATAATTTGAAGATTTACCCATTAATCCACAGCATTTTCCCCTTTCACTGCACTACACAGCTTTACAAGAATGTTCTGGTCCTCTGGGCACTTTAAATGAGAGATAATTCCACACTTACTGTCAAGAATTCCCTAGGCACACCTTCTGCCAAGTTTCCAATTAAAAAACCAATTTTTGAAAACCACTTTCTGGAAATCAGCTCACATCAAATTCAATTTATTATTCAATCAGTTTATTAATCTATTGAGATCTCCTATTCTTTTGTTTTCTGTCTCAGCAAACTGACTTAAGTGAAAATGAGGGTTTATTGGCTCACAAAGTGAATTCCTATAGTATAGGTAGTGGTAGCCTCAGGCATGGCTGGATCCAGAGGCCCAAAGGAATCCTCAGGGCTTCATCTCTCTCCTGGCACCTGTTGGATCTACTTTCCTTTGTGTCAGCTCCATTCTCAGTTATTGCCATGTTGTGTCTATAGCAGCTCTGGTTTCATAATCTTTATAGTTGGCAATCCTAGGAGTTCCAAAATGGCACCAGAATGGAGACTCAGTGGCCTGGTTTGTGTCATGTGCTCATCCCTGAACCACAGGCATAAAATATTCTGACATTCCTGTAAGTACTTGCACATCCTAGACTGAGTCTGGGTTGGGTAAGTGCCTCCATCATCCAGGAGCAACCATGTTGGTGCCCTCCGTGAGACTTCTCCCTCTTGTCTTTGTGAGTCTCTTAGGGATAAGGAGTACGCAGGGCCTAGAAGAGCATAACTTTATCTGAGGATTGGCAGGTTAACTATTAATGGTCTTTGCCAAAACGTACAGATCCAGAAAATCCAGTGAATTGAAAAAACAGAGGCAAGGAGACATGACATTATGAAATGGGTGGAGAGGAAGGCCTGGACTGAGGGAGAAAGATACGGAGGATGATAAACAGATAGTTATAGATAGAGTGAAAGACAAACTTATGAGGGGTAGACAGAGACACATAGAGATGAAAACCAATAGGGCAGGATCTGTAGCTGAAATGGAGAGACAACAATAGATCCTCCCTCCACCACCCAGTACACACACACACACACACACGTGCAAACATTGCCACAGAGAAATAATAATTCAAGGAGCCCAAAAATAACATGTCTATTGGGTAGGAGGGATCTAGGATGGTTATCTGAGAGATTCATTCAGGGATGGTGGGACAGGTGTTTCTAGAAAGTAGGATGTGAACGATGGTGTAACCACAAATCCAAGGTCTGGTAGGATCGTGGACTCATTCATTACGTATTTACTGAAGCCGCAACTTAATGAAAAGTTTATTTCAAAACTTGGACAGACTTTCCTCCAAAGGGGTGCAAATGGCCAAAAAGGCTCGTACCTGGCTTGGGATGATTAAAGCAGAGGAATATGGCCTTCTGGGGGTGTGCTCAGGGCAAAGAGAGAGGAAGTATGGCCTTGAACTGGTTCGTTTGCTGACGAAAGGCACGCCCTGGGATGAGTCCTTTGCTATCTCTAAGAACTGGCTGGCTCTGGGAGGGGCAGTCTCTCCCAACCCAGAAAGGGATTTTTTTAAGGATGACAAAATGGCCTAATATGAAGAACCTAAAAAATATATATATATAATAACTTATTGGAAAGGGAGAGAGAGGGAGAAGCAGAGAGAACCTACCGACCTAGGTTCTGGGAACAGCGCTGAACCCGGAGTCCTTGCTCTCCTGGAGCTCGCCCTCTAGTGGGGGCAACAGAAAATAGAAAGTGAGGTAAGATAAGCTTGGGTAGTGACTGGGACTTTGAAAGCAGGAAAGCAGAGTCAGGTAGTAGAACATACAGTAGGGGGTGGGGAAGCCATTTCAATAAGGTGGTCAAAGAAAGTCTCCCTGAGGAGGGAGCATGGAGCAGAGACACGTGAGTGGAGGGGAGCTCCATCTGGAAAGACTATCTCAGGAGAGGAGGCAGCAAGTGCAAAGTTCTGAGATGGGAGCGTGTGTGGGGGGAGATCTGAAGAGCAGGGTGGCCAGGAGGGACATGGAGAGGGTGACACGGCCAGGGCCAGATCATGCAGGCTTATGGAGACCCAGGAGGGCTTTTGGAATTGTTCTAAATTTAATGGGAAGACACAGAGCATCAGGTGACGCAATCTCCATGTGCCACAACCACAGGGGGCGCCATGTACGTGGACCACATTGTGAAGGAGTGTCCCTGGAGTTGGCTGAGTGGGCGGCCCTGCAACCCCAACTCTCCTACCCATGGCAGACATTGCTCATCAATTACAGGCCCCACTCACCCAGCACTGGATGCTCAGAATCCTTCTCCACCAGGGACCCCAGATGACCTCAGCCAATTCTTCAGAGCTGAGCGTGCCAGGCCCAGTCTCTGCCATCATTTTCCCTGACCCTTTGCTGACACAGGGACCTCCTGGGGCTGGTCTGACAGAGACACGGTGACACAGAGTGGGAGCAGACCTGATCAGTTCTTTATTGGAAAGGGGATGCTGTCTGTAATCCGACAAATCTGTGACCCCAAAAAAATCTCGAGTTCCAGACCCAGTTGGGATGCTGTGAGGTCGTAGTTGCCACGGAAAAAGCCACGGGAATGGCAATTATGCCAGCGCCAATAGACCTGGATGATGCGGGCAGCGTGGAGCAAACGGCAGTATCTCTGGCGGATGCGCCACATGCGGACCAAGGACTGCAGCTTGACCACTGCCCATTCTTGCCGCAAGAAGGACTCGAGGACTGCTTGTTTTCTCTTCTCCAGCAGCTTTGCCAGCGTCACCTTCCACCAGTGCTGAATGATACATGCTCTGAGTGCTGCGTGTAGCAAGGTCCTGCGCACCAGAGTACCCCGCCACCACGCCTGGATCTTTATGGCTTTCTGCTCTTGGTCAGGGCGCTTCTTTTTCTTTGGGGGGAGAGGTTGCAAAGATAAAGAAGGGATTCTCAGGGAACATTCCCCACCCACCTCAGTTCCAGGGCATGCCAAGAAGGGCTTCCTCAGAAGTTCAGGAGCACTGGGCAGGGACCCAGTAGACCAGATATGTGTCCTGTCTCTGCCCCTCTCTCTTAATGCACCTGGACACATCACATTGTCCCCTGAGGCTCAGGCTCCTCATCTGTAAAATGGAGCATTCTGGCACTAGCTATCCCGCCATTACATGGACCTGGTTGGCCTGTCTGGAACAAGCATGCCATGAATCATGTTCCACCCGGACCTGGCCACCTACCTGGGCTGCACAGTCCTTCCCTCCCCCCCGCCACCGAGACGGCTGGAGAAGCAGCATCCTTTGTTTGCTTTCACGCCTGACTCCAGCTGAAGCTGTGTCCCTCTGTCAAGTCACAGTATTAGAAGTTTCCCTGCTCCACACAGTGTGGAGTCCTTCTCATTTAGCTCTCACTTTCACTTCTTTGTGTTCTCACATCTTAAACTTCAGTTAGCACGCATGCATGCACACATGTGTCTGCACGCGCACACACACAGTTCTAGACTCGGCTTTCCCTGTACGTGGCAACGTCCTCTCCAAACACAGCCTCACTGTCCCACGCCCCAGCTTGGCATGGTCCGATTCCCACTCGTCAGGGGTTCCTCTCCCTCCGACCAAGTGTCTGTGCCTCAGTCACCCCCTTCTCTCTGACTGAGAAGGAACTCGGAGGAGAGAATAACCAAGGATGAAGCGGAATGAGTACCTACTCATTCCAGCTCTGGATAGGGCAACCATTCATCCTGGTTGGCCTGGGACATTCTCAGTTTATGCTTATTATTCCTGAAGAATCATTCATAGCACTTTCACTTACAAATGGAACCTGGTTCAGATGACAGATTCCAGGATCAAGCCATGCTATGGGGCAGAGAGAAGACAACCCATCAGTCCTCGAGAATAGGAGTCACCCTCAACTTTGAGGGCCTTCAGTGACCTACCTTTGGTGGACAGGGTGGGGGTGGAGATGGAGGAGGTGTGGGTGGAGGCTCTTTTTTCTTTTTCTTCTGTTTTTCTTTCTCTTTCAGCAATGTGGTTTCATCAGCATCTTCTATTATGATTTCACAAAACTGGCCATCCTTCTGTAATCAGAGTTTAGAGGGGAAAGGTATGGGTAGGTGTTCTCTGTACAACTTTGTGCCACGTCCACCTCATACTCAACTTCCTGCCTGGCCCAGAGTCCCTAGATGTAGAACTCGCATCCTGAGTTAACTGGAAATCCACCTTCCCCTGCCTGCAATTCTGGGTGGCTCTCTCTTACACAAAACCGAATGCCCATGACTTGGATATAGATGTTTCAAAGCCCCTCAGGTCTGTAATCCCTTAAATTTCCCATGGTTAGGAGTGTAATGGTTCCATTGCTCCCAGGTCTGTACTCTCCCGGCCGCAGCCTGGCAGGAAGAGACAGGGATATGATGTCATAAGGGCACCTATGACTCAGGCACCAGGATGGTTCCAGACAGTTGAGTTCTTTTTGATGAAAATGTGGAAGTCCTTGCCCACTCTTTCCTACCATAAGTGCCCAAAATTTGGCAAAAAAGGCAGCACACAGAAAATACTGCCCATGGACACAAAAGTGTATAGAGACAGTCATTTCAGGCTGGTCGATAAAAACATAAATTTGAGACAATTTAAACATCCATTAATAGAGCATTCGATTAGATGCATTTCATTTCAAACAATGGCACCAAATAACGATTAGAAAGAAGGAGTTTTCAGCAAAATCTTAAACAAGCACTTCACTAAAGATTTATGAATGGCTAGGAAGCACATGAAAAGATCCCCAACATCAGTCACAAGGGAAAGGAAAATCAGAACCACAATAAGATCCCCCCGAATACCTTAGAGAATGGCTAACATAAAAAATACAACATCAAATACTGGCAAAGACATACAACAGCTGAATCTCTTCTAACACTGCTGGTGGGAAGGTAAGAAACAGAAACGCTTTGGAAAGTGGTTTGCCTGTTTCTAATGAAGTTCAGCATCTATCCACCCTATAACTCAGCGGTTCTACACCTAGATCTTTACACAAGAGACATGAAAACACGTGTCTGCAAGAGTTAGGCATGCATGTTCATAGCAACTTTATTCAAAGAGGTCAACGCTGGAAACAATTCAGATGTTTACCCACAGGGGGCTAGGCAAAGAAATTGTGGCATATTCATTTAATGAAATAATACATGGTAATAAAAATGGACAAATGACTGACACCCACAATAACGTAGGTGAACCTCAAAAACATTATGCTAAATGAAAGAAGCCAGACATCAAAGAGCATTTACAGGATGATTCCACTTACAAAAAGTTAGAAAATAGGCAAAATGAAACTATGGGTAAGGTAATTCTTTTTTTTTTTTTATGGGTAAGATAATTCTAAAGAGAGTTTACATCTGGGGTAAGGTATGAGAGGTATTGCCAGCAAACAGGACAAAGAAAGAGGAATTTGCTATATCTTGTTTTGTGTGGTGGTTACCTGGGGATGCAGAATCATAAAAACTCATCAAACACCATTAAGAAGCACCTGATAAAGCCACAGTGAGGGCTTTTGTAGAGAGGAGGCCATTTAAGGTTGGAGGGCGTTAGTGTGGAGGAAACGGGATGAGGGGTGGGGAGGACAAGGGTTGGCTGGAAGAGGCAGGAAGAGGTTGGGACACATGGCAGAGGGAAGGCAGGGAAGCATCTGTTTGGAGATGTAGGTGTTGGACCATCCCCAGATGCCAGGCTTGCATCTCTGGATTTCTTTCTTAGTTTAGATCATGGCCCAGAAATTTTTTACTATATTGTTAGTTTTCAATTCATTCAAGCAGAAATTTGTGGGGTTTTCTTAAGATTTTATTTATTTATTTATTTATTTGAGAGAAAGCACGAGCGGGGGGTAGGGGCAGAGGCAGGGAGCCCGATGTGGGACTCGATCCCAGGACCCTGAGATCTTGACCCGAGCCAAAGGCAGATGCTTCACCGACTAAGCCACCCGGATGCCCATTCAAGCAGAAATTTAAAAATATATATATACTTTGATCAGCTTTTCCAGTTCTTCTCAACAAAAGGATTAATCCCAATGACTCAGCACACCATTATCTGACATGGAAATCTCTCCAGATTATATGTGCTTTTTCCCGATTGAAGCAGTTAGCACACTCGGTTACATTAGTTTCAGGTGTACAACACAGTGCCTGGACACGTTTAACCCCTGCTATATTTTTATCTGCCACCTTATTTTCAACTTTTCATCACATTTTGTTAACAAAATAGAGGTGTCTTTTTTTCCCTCAGCATTCTTATATTTATTCAAATTTGAAAACCAAAGTTTGATTCTCGTACTGCTAGGGTACACAGAGCACATACAATCATATACAGAGCGCATGTGACAGTGAAGAGCAAACCCCCTGGGAAACCTTCTAGACTAACAGTCACCCTGAAAGAATTCTGAAGACCAAGAGTTGCTAATGAAGGAATGTGTTGAAGTCAACCTTCCTCCCACAGGCCAGATGCGGAGCCTGGGGGCCAGGTCACTCTTGTTCAGCTCAGCCTGTGGCGCCGTCTCGGGACTGTCCCCACCACACCAGCTTCTCGTGCTTTCACGCCATCCTCCCTCTGGACGGTGCTGGGAAGTTTGGTTTCTGCGTCTGTGCGTGGGGAAAGGTGACAGCACCACAGGTTCCTGAGACACGCCATCATCGTGGGAGCGCGCCTTTCCAGGCAAAGCAACAAGACTTGTGTGGGTGGCGGAGGGACAGTCCCAGCTTGTGGAGAATACCCTTTGGGTAACACCATTTCTCTCTCTTTAAAAAAAAAAAGTATTAAATTCAATATGCTGGCTAACTGAACATAAAAAAAATAAACAGTATTAAATTCAGATGCACACAGGACCACAAAAATAGTAATCTATTATGTTTTATTATGAACACATCTTGGATTCTTACCTTGCTCTTTTGCCAAGGATATTAACGTTTTTGGAAACATCTGAACAAGAGACCTATCAATCAAAATAATTCTGCAGAATCTTGCTGAAATGACCCAGAGAAGAATATGAAATGGTGTTCCCGGGTCCCAGAGTACAGAATCTCTGTGACTTCCTGGAATTCTAGAAATCTCCAATGCAGCCATATGCTGAGGGGATTGGATGCAAAATGTTCAGCAGGTTTTCCCATGTATCTCAGACAGCTTTCAGCATTTGTGTGAAAGAATTGCCTTTGCCTCATAGAAGAGATCCAACAGAGAGTCAGTATCTTGAGGTGGAAAGTCAGGACAGGGGACAAAGGCACCGAGCAATGAGTGAGCTCCAGGGAGAGCAGCCTTTGGAAAGAGAAGCACCAAGACAGGGATGCTGCTGCCCACTGATGGCCTTTCCTTGGATGTCCAAGGCCAATGCGACCCTGGTCCCACCATGGCTAGAAGAGATGCATGAAAGAATCTCACTGTGCTCTTTCGTCTTCAGAATAACATCTGGGCCACCACCACCTCGGCTGAGGATCTACCCATCGGCTCCTTGGTCAGCTCAGAGCCCCCGCCGGTGACCTGTGGCTGCCTGGCCTCCTTGCTCACCATCAGCTTCCTGGAGAGGTATATGCCCATGGCCTGATCCTCCTGGAGGAATCTCTCCACGTCTTTGTACGCTTTTGTGTATTTGTACTTAACAATGAGTTCACACCCCCGATGGCAAACCTCTGCACCCTGCTGGGGGAGGTGGTATGTGGAGTCGAGGCTTTGTAGAGTTTTTCAGGGGTTGAGAGTCTTCCGCTTCAAGAGATGCTCCAGAAGCAAGACAAGCTGGTCTGGGAGGAGCTTTGCAAACACTTCTTTGGTCTCCCTTTGTTTCTGTTTTCAGGGTCTCTGGTCACTCATATTCATTTCTTGACCACGTGAGCCTGGCAGTGGCTCACCCCCAGAAGCGGAGTGGGGGCTGGCTGTCAGGAGAGCAGGAGGAATGTGGGGGCCCGCAACACCTAAGGCACAGCTCGGGAGGTGGGTGGCAGGGGCGATAAAATAAATCAAGGTGTCTCTTGATTCAGCAAGGAAGTCTGTATTTTTAATAGATGAATGCTGCAAATTCACATTTATCATGATTTCTAATATGACTGGAGTTATTGTGATACTGTTTTATGGCTTCCATGCCTGGTTTTCCCAGGAAGTGGCCACAGAAGGGAGGAATGCTTTGTGTCGCAGCCCCTGGGGAGGGAGGTTGTTGCCCCTCAGCTCCTGGCCTGGCCTTCCCAGCTGACAGCCAGACTCTCTGTTGTTCTACCCTGAGTGGAGAAGATGCCTGGGCTGGGGATGCAGAAAAATAAAGCCCAAGTCCTATACTCCCTGGGGACAAGCATTAGACCATGTTCCCTGTCCCTATTTGCATTCCAGTGAGCCTGAAATCTAGGGTCTATTTTAGAGAGGAGATTTTCCAGCTCTGCCTTGGGTGGACTAGACCTAGCACCCCCCCTTCTATGTAATAGATTTCCATAAGTGGTCATCAGGTTGGGTAGGCTAGGGTATCCTACGTCATGGCCTTCTTTATTTCAAGCTCCATCTGGCTTTGCGGACCATAGAGTTGTAACAGGAATCAAGGAGGGATCTGGTAACATTGTCTGGGGGCCTGAATCTAGGTGCAGCTACAGCCATATTTGCCCCTTGAAAAACGGGCCTCCAAAAGATAACCATGTCAAATCCCTGGAACCTGGGAAGGTTACCTCCTACAGTAAAAGATGGGATTAAGTGAAGGGTCTTGCGAGGAGGGGCTTACCCCGGATTATCTGGGTATCATGCCATCACACGCATGCCTTATCAGAGAGAGGCTGTGGGAGTTTTGAGAGAGACACAGAAGGAAAGATGATGTAAAGATGCAGGCAGAGGGGCACCTGGGTGGCTCAGTCATTAAGCGCCTGCCATCCGCTCAGGTCATGATCCCAGGGTCCTGGGATTGAGTCCCACATCCGGCTCCCTGCTCAGCGAGAAGACTGCTTCTTCCTCTGCCACTCCC